GGCTATTGTGTTTATTATCCTTCAAATATTTTTCGCAACACGCGCAGTTTTGAAAATTAGGGGATATCCCCGGTTTTAGGTGGGGAATATTCGGTGATGTGATGCGTTTAGACCAATTGTGCGCGAGCAAAAATATTTGATGGATTATAATTATTCATATACCACGATGGCTTAGCCAATGGCAACTCTTTAATTGGATAATTTAATGATCCAGTTTTTATTAATTAGAAATTGCTAGATCTGTGATAAGTCTAATGAACAGCGTTACAATCTGTGGGACTTTTAGAAAACGAGTGTATTTCAGTAGAAAGGAAAAGCGGCTTGGAAAGCAACTACACGCCTCTACAACGACAATCTAGTTAGACGAGATTAGGATACGCTCATACTAGGACTCTGACCAAGAAGTGTAACTAGAGATCTTCAAGAAGACATTGAAACAGTGGACTCGCCCAGCGCTACGGGTTGACCTCAATCGATATTGTATGTACCTCACTGTCGTGTTTGTCTTAGCTCTCTTCACGACCGCTTTTAAAAGGTGACCATACATTTCTGGTCTTTCCTTTGGTATTTGTGTTTTCATTGTGGTGCTTTATTTTGGTAATGCTTTATTTTGGTAATGCTTTCTACAACGTGTGGAAATTCATGGATAAATCTTTAAAAACGGATTTAAAGGATATTGGAAAAACCTACATGTCCAGTGCCGGTTGTCACATGTGGGTAGCTGAGTGGAATTGTAAAGCGTGGGTATGGTCGGGACTTCTTCATAATGAAAGCCACGATCCCGGGGTTGCGGATTTATATAGAATGTATGTACTTTCGGGCACTGCTGGGAAACTTCTTGAGAGGCTTGTCAGCTACCCAAGAGAGCAACAATACCATCAAATTATCCTTAATAGAACAAGTGCCCAGAAGGCTGCGTTTGGTTTCTACAAGAAAAGCGGGCTTTCAGCTCATAGAAGTTGTGCCTTTTTGGCAAAAAGTTCCTACAGATCTTGTAGTGAATTACTTTGCAATTGAGCTCGAATTGTAACTCATGTCCAGTCCATCAGAGCGCTATCAGCGCTCTATACCTACCTGAGACTTACCTTCTCCATCAGGTTTTACGAATCGCTAATGAAAATTCAAATTTCCGAAGAGTTTTTCCGAGAGATTTTTGCCGTCAGCCGTAATGTACATAGGAATTATGATAAAAGATACATTGTTTTAGCTACCTAAATATTTCAAGTAAGTACAGCAGTAAGAAGAGAAATGTATTGGTTAATGCTTATTGCTTTGTATTATTGGAAAACAATCTTAATCATACATTTTTACTACGGCCAGTTGCAAGTTTTTTCAAATTAAATCAAAAGCATCAATTGAGATAGAAAGGGAAACAAAAGAGATTAAAAAAAAAAAAAAAAAAAA